GGCTCAAAGACAAGAACCACATGGTCATCTCAATAGATGCAGAGAAGGCCTTTGACAAAATTCAACATGCAAAGTTCAAAATCCTAGAGGGAGCTGGACTGGAAGGAACATTCTTCAACATAATTAAAACCATACATAACAAACCCATAGCTAACATCAGTCTAAATGAAGAAAAACTAGAAGCATTCCCATTGAAATCAGGAACCAGACAAGGCTGTCCACTAGTTCCACTTCTCTTTAACACTTGAAACTCTTGCAAGAGCAATACAATAAGATAAGGAAACTAAAGGAGTAATAATTGGAAATGGAGATCAAATTATCCCTTTTTGCAGATGATACGATATTATATCTAAGAGATGCCAAAAATTCTGCCCAAAAGCACCTAGAAATTATTAACACGTTCAGTAAAGTGGCAGGTTACAAAACTAACCTACAAACGTCTATAGACTTTCTATATACCAATAACACAATAAGATAAGGAAACTAAAGGAGTAATAATTGGAAATGGAGATCAAATTATCCCTTTTTGCAGATGATACGATATTATATCTAAGAGATGCCAAAAATTCTGCCCAAAAGCACCTAGAAATTATTAACACGTTCAGTAAAGTGGCAGGTTACAAAACTAACCTACAAACGTCTATAGACTTTCTATATACCAATAACAAGCAGTCAGAGAAAGACCACATGGAAACACTCCCATTCACAATAGCTGCAGAAAAAATAAAATATCTTGGAATAAACCTGACCAAAGACATTAAAGAGCTCTACAATGAAAATTTTAAATCTTTAAAGAAAGAAATTGAGGAAGACATCAGAAGATGGAAGGACCTCCCATGAACATGGATTGGAAGAATTAATATTGTGAAAATGACCATCCTACCACAAGTCGTATATAGATTCAATGCAATGCCAACCAAAATCCCCATGACATTTTTTCACAGAATTGGAAAAAAACATCCTAAGATTCATATGGAAGCACAAAAGTCCTCGGATAGCCAAAACAACCCTGAGCACTAAGAGCAATGCTGGGGGGATTACTATACCAGGTTTTAAGCTGTATTACAGAGCTATAGCCAAAAACAACATGGTACAGGCACAAAAAATAGACCCATAGCTCAATGGAACAAAATTGAAGACCCAAATATGAGCAAATGCAACTTCAGCCACCTGGTATTTGACAAAGGGGCCAGGAATATTCACTGGAGGAAAGACAGCATGTTCAGCAAATGGTGCTGGCAAAACTGAATCTCCACTTGTAGAAGAATGAAACTAAACCCCTGTCTTTCACCCTGCACAAAAGTCAATTCCAAATGTCCCAAAGACCTCAATGTAAAGCCCGGAACTCTGAAACTATTAGAAGAAAACATTGGGAAAAGCCTACAAGACATAGGTGTAGGAAAGGGTTTTCTAAACCGGACATCAGTTGCTCAGGAAACAAGGACAAGAATTAACAAATGGGACCTCATTAAACAAAAAAGCTTCTGTACATCGAAGCAACCAAGGAAGCAAACAGAAAACCCACAGAATGGGAGAAAATCTTCACCAGCGACACATCTGACAGAGGTTTTATATCCAGAATATACAACAAACTGAAAAAACAGAGAACCAAGACAAGAAGCAACACAATTAAAAGATGGGCTAAGGAGCTGAACAGAGAGTTCTCAAAAGAAGAAGTAAAGATGATTATGAAAATCTTAAAAGATGTTCAACATCACTAATAATTAGGGAAATCCAAATGAAAACCACTTTAAGATTTCATCTTACCCCAGTCAGACTGGCTAAGATCAAGAGAACAAATGATACCAAATGCTGGAGAGGATATGGGGAAAGGGGAACGCTCATCCACTGTTGGTGGGGCTGCAAACTGGTTCAACCCCTATGGAAAGCAGTGTGGAGAACTCTTAAAAAACTACAAATGAACCTACCATTTGACCAAGCTATACCAACACTTGGCATATACCCAAAGAACTCATCCTATTGCAGAGACACATGCACATCC